TTATCAACCGACTTTCGCACTCGCCGCAGGACCTGCTTGTAGTTGCCATTCAAGTGCATGTCGTAGCGCAGGACCGTGACCACGGGTCCGTTCATCCCAAACATCGTGGTTAGTTCATTCAGAATGTTTAGGTAATCGGCTGGAAGCGGCATGCAATTTATACATATAATGGAAATTATAGTTTCGATTGAAACATACCCGATTCGTAGAGGAATATGAATCGAGTCCAGTTGAACTCTGTGATGAGACTGTAGAGGGCCTTGGCGAGGTCAGCCGGATGTGGATGGAGATTGAAGCCCTCCGCGTACTCGCTCATATAGGAGTATATGTGGGGAATGTCCATGGCATCGCATATGGACATCAGATGGACGGCTGTGTGCCGCGAAGAGGGTCCAAAAACACCCGCAATGCCCGTCTTAGAATGCAAAGATAATGAATTAATTACGAGTACTATTGTAAGGACAGGATCTAGTGAGCTACCTCCATCATCCTGCACAGTCTACCGTAGCTCTGATAGGCATCACCGTAGTTAACCTCCGCCTTAAGGGACGTCAGCGTTGTGCCCACCTCCTGGTTGGCCACTTCGATGGCATGATCGAAAACAATATTCATTTGGTCCGTGTTCTGGTCGGTGAGCAGACCTGAAAATCATAATGAGAAATTCCCTCTATCGCTCTTGCCGGTTTGTTTATAAACAAATCTTGACCTCATCGAGCAGCGGTCTATCCCATTCCGCTCGGAGACCCAAACAAACAAATAAATCTGAATACTAAAATACGATTTTATGAGCTTTCGGCGTTGATGGAACGAACAGCTTGTTAAAAATAAATCGCCCATTGCAAATGGTTTGTTTTGGGCAGAATGAAAAAAAAAAACACTCGAGCGACACACATTTCTCTGTCGGTTTTTTTCGATTTTCAAAATATCTTACCAATGGGGACACTTCCCATGTTTTGGAAGCTGTCGTAGTTGCTGCCATAGCCCTCGTACTGAGTGCTGTGAAGCGGAACTCGCGACAAAATTATGACGAACGAAATGAAAATATGTTTGCTAAACATTTTAATAGCTATACATATAAATTCAAATGTATATGTACATTATAATCCAGACAAAAATATAGAAATATGCTTTCACTCGGAACACCGCACACTTGAAGAGAAGAGCCACAACTGACGGATTCTTCCAAAATCCAATTTGGAAATCTTTTTGAGTGAAAGTTTCCCAAAGCTTTTGGGAAAAGTTGAGAGCAACCGCACATAACTCAATTATCAATCAGCCTCCTCGGGCGGCATATTCTCCTCGGAATCCGTTTTGAGGGACTCTATGGAGTGAGAGGAGTTTCGGCTGCGGGAGTAAACCGATTGTGCGCTCTTCAGGGCCCGCTCGTTCTCCGAGAACCGGATGACGATTTTAAACTCCTCAACCAGAGCATCACAGAAGGGCACCTGAAAGGAAAAATCTGTCAGGCACAATCTTTTGATTGTGAAAGGTGATGGAGATGTTTTACCTCATAGCTTTTGGCCTTCTTGAAAATGCACCAACAAAAGATGGAAAAGATGATGGAGATGATGGTACCAACAGCCAGGACAGCGTAGATACCACTAAGGTTGTCCACACCCAACTCTGAAGGACCATCGGAGCTGCTTTTGGCCTAGAATATGGACTGTTATGATAGAACTAATTGCTGTAATAATAACTTACACTGCAAACTCCGGCTCCGATCTCGTTCCACCATTTGTTCTTGAGCCTGGCCAGCACACCTTGCTCCTGCAGCTCCAGTAGAGCATTGTTGAACTTATCGCGATATGGCCAATCTGGAAAGGTATCGTATCCAATGGGTTGCAGTATTTTCAGGGCTTGGTATTGAGCACCTACTTTTCACCATGGCTATGCCGTAACCCTTTTCATCCAGTGCATCCCCCACTTTGGTGAGATTACACTCTCGCACTGTATTGAACTCAATAGAGGTGGACTCCATGAGGAAGGCGTACTTGTTGCCGGACTTCACCTTCTCCACGCCATCCTGATTGTTGTCCAGCAACATAGACGGGTTGTTGGTCATGTATTCGTTCATTTTCATATAAATGGGATCTTCAGAGGTCTGAAAGAATCTATGTAAATTAATGTCATTCCTTTCAGAATGTGCGACGTCCTACTAGGAAGAAATTCCGGGTGGATCCTGTACGCTTTGCTCCATACTGAACACCCTCCTTGTTGTCGGCCAGATCTTCAACGCTATTGATGGGACTGGTGGGATTTTCGATGGTCAGGAAGGCAGCCAAGTTGGCAGTGTACGAAGACACCATGATCAGGGTGAAAAACCACCAAATGGCCGCAATGGTACGTGTACTTAGGGATCTAAGGGTAACGAAAGATTGTTAAAAAAAGTTTGTGCTTCAGTTTAAATCGCAATACTTGGGGGCGATCTCGGAGCCCTGCTGCAACAGGGCTCCCGTGGTGAACCACAGAGAGTTGTTGATGGTGAACTGATTCTCCAGCTCTTCTGGCTCTTCGATGCAGGGAAATGGGTTGTCCCATTCCGTGGGGGATAGTCGACCCAGAATAAAGAAGCATAGCGAAACACCTACATATGCAATCCCCAGATAGAGCCACACTTCTTCGGAGAACGGGTCCATGAAGGAAAAGAGAGCCGGCGGAGCCTTCTGTGGCTTCACATATAAAATGGCTATGCCTAGAGCAGATTAGGATTATCAGACATTATCGGTGTGCAATATATGACTAATATGGGCCTACCCAGGTTCATAAAAGGTATGGAAAAGTCAATGACTTCTTCTCGTTCCGATGTTATGGTCAGATCGGTAATGGCCAAATCAGCTCGCTGTCATAAGCCAGATAATCAAAATGAGATTCATGAATAAGTATTTTGTTCCAGCTCACCCCTTCGACGATTTCCTTGAGCATTCCGGTAGTGGTGTTGGTGGTCTTGTTAAAGGAGCCATAGTCAATGCCGCCATCTAGGAAGGTAAAGTTGAAGCCGAGCTTATCGGCCAGTTCCTTGATGAGATCCACCCCATAGCCCTGATACTGATTATTGCCAATGAGCGTGTCAATACTATCCACTAGACTGGCATATGGCTTGGTCTGTAATCAATATGTTCATTAGAAATTATAGATCTTAAATATCCAATGTAGTTCTTACTCACCGCTACAGATATGAGAACTTTGAATGTCTTGTTGACCAGCGAACCATCATCGATGTCATTGAAGTTGATCACTTGCGCGGGCCGCTTGAACTCAAACTCCTGGCCCTCCTCCCAAGTGCCGACCTTGACCAGGCCACTTGTCTGCAGCTCAATGACATCGAAAGTGAAACCCTTTCTCACATTACCCTCAAAAAAGATGCGACCTGTGATGGTTTTCTCCTTGATCTCCAACTGCAAGGAAGTGAAAGTTTAATAAGGTTATTGGCCGTCGATAATCTGTTGTGCGAACCGATCTCATGTAGTTCCTGAATGTGGATCCATCTGGTTGGACATTGTCATGACGCTCGGAACAGTTTAGGATCTGAGGTTGGTAGGGAAGGTGTTTGGTGGTCTCGGCAATCACACGCACCGCATCATAGGTCAGCGCCATGGCCATGGTGATGGTTGATGCCCCTACAATTTAATGATGAAGCCACTATAGAGCAAGCACCTTTTCTGAAGACATTCTTACCATTATCTGCAGGTTCGCTTTCGCCTAGCTCTTGATGCAGTCTCTCCACCAGGTCTCGGACCTCCTCCTGATCGGGTGAGAACATTCGTATGCCCGTTATATTCGCTTCACTGTACTTGTACTCCTCCAGCTCGAAGGTGTGCAGGTCCAGGTTGCCGATTACGTACGTGTAGTCCTCATTCATGATGCCTACTTGCTGGGCCTGCCTTAGGAGCTCGGCCACGCCCTCTCGGGAGCCCACAACCACAATGCGACTATCCTCTGATTTTCGTATGCGTCGCAGGACCGACTTGTAGTTTCCGTTCAGATTGAGATCGTAGCGCATGACCTTAATCACGGGCCCCTTGATGCCGTACAGTGTCATAAGATGGTCCAGAATGGCCAAGTATTCGGCTGGGATTGGAATTAGATCTCATTAGATCGCTCAAACGGTTTTTTGAAGTGGAATACTTACGGGACTCGTAGCAGAATATGAATCGCGACCAGTCAAACTGCTTGATGATGCCGTAGAGAGCGTTTGCAATGTCCTCCTGATGCGGATGCAGGTTGAAGCCATCCGCCTGGGCATTCCCCGAGAGATGCGGATACACAAAGGGTATGTCCTTGGAGTCGCAGGCATTCAGCAGATGCGAGGCAGTGTGCTTGGCCGCCGGCCCGAAGACGGCACCCACTCCACTCTATTCCAATGTCGTTTATGCTTATTGAATTTTAGATTACAAGACAAGTCCCTGCTCACCTGCATCATGTTGCAGAGTTGGGCAAAGGCCTGGACCGAGTTCCCATAGGACACCTGCTCCGTTTGGCCCACCAGCGGGACGCTCAGCTCGTTGTTCGCCACGGAGATGGCGTGCTCAAAGGTCTGCCGGATTCTGTCCGTTTCGTCGTCTGTGATAAGGCCTGCATGCTTTGTTTGAGTGAAAGTTTTGGAGGGAGAGCCAAATGAGTGGACTACTCACCGAGGCGTATGGCCTGTCCGCTGGCTGCACCATAGGAGCTGCCTCCATAAATCTGTCCCTGCACCCGATTGAGGCCAAGAATTGCCAGTAAAATCAACCAGAACTCCATTTTAATCAGTAATGGAAACAATATGTGACAATTTTTCCTTGCAGCATGCCGCTTTCTCGGCTATTTCTGATTGGTATATATAAATATATATATATATTTTTGGAACACCCACAAGCGAACGTTTTCTGAAATGTTCTTAAGTTGTCGAGCGCACGTTCACAACTGAAAGAATTCTCAAAATTTCCTTCGAAAATTCCACTCGAAAGTTTTCCAAATTTTGTTAAGCTTTCTGTCCCGCACCAGTGTTGAAATAGTCCACGAAATATTGAAAGTTTGTGTATTTTTTTTGTCATTTACATATATATAATTAGAATTATCACAAACATAAATGGTTTCATTAACTAAGATATTGCAAATTAGAAGTAAAAGTAGTTAATGGCTAGGAAAATATATAAATCGCAATTTTTGGCACATTATCTTTACTGTTGTAGGAGAAACTTCCCACTGGAACTATCCGGACAGTCTGCTGTTGGGATATACTTATGCGGCAACTGAAAGGTAGACAGATATAAAAGTAAGTACGATGTCTTTCTATGGAGACATTAACCCCACCCCCGCCAGATTGAGATATTCAGATATCAATGCACTCCAACCCCGGAGGCAGCTAAAGTAGCACACACCAATTGCGGTTTTATTGGAAAGACAATTGGAGAAGTTTCTGTGGGGGAGCCATACCCCCAGAGCCAAGTAACCAACTGCTGAGCATAAATCACCATTAATTAAGTGTGTGAGTGCGGCCCAATTGAAGTGCGATGTCGTTGTTGGCCCAACATACCAAGAGCCCGTCGTCTGCCAGATGGTTTTGATGGAGGGAGCAGGATGGCAAGGGAGAGGGTAACGAGGTACAAGGAAGCTGACAGGCACCACACCACTTACTCCACCCTAGTGCTAGCACTACCCCAATCAAGTGACACCAAAGTGGAGCAATTACCACGTCAACTGGGAGGATCAACTCTGGGGAGGGTGGAATTGATGTTCGGATACTCACCAACTGGCATGCATCTGGTGAGGGCTAGGACTGCGCGGAATACATCATCATGTATGTATAATACTCGTAGGCTATAGGTAACTGCGTCGGGTGCTGCGCCTTCCGGGACTACCATACGCTGCATTTGGTAATGGGATTCATGGGCGTGCCGGCGGCACACTGGAACTCTCGGGCAAAGTCGTAGGAGTTTGAGAGGGTGCCGATGACGCGGAAACGTCCCGGACTGTGGATGGCCGTGTTGAGCTTATTGCGGATGGCCTCCGGCCGCATGGCCCCGCACCACACCTGCCCGAAGTTTAGGAAGAACAACTGCTGTGCGGTCATGTTCAGGCCAGGCAGTACCTCCTCCTCGACCTGCTCCGGATGGTCCTTCAGCCAGCGCTTGTAAGCATGGAAGGCCTGCCGCAGGCCGCCATTATCCGCAATGTTCTCCCCTGCCGAACGGAAGATCTTTTGTGAGGAGAGGAAGATGGAGAGAGAGTACGTTCCGCCACTTACCCTGTGTGCTCTCGCCGTTGAGGACGATGCCCACCTCGTCGACCGTGTAGTTGCTGTACTGGGCAATGATGCAGCGGGCACGCTCGTCGAATCCCCGGATGGCGGAGTCTGTCCACCACTTGTGTATGTTGCCATTCCTGTCAAAGAGCCGACCCTTGTCGTCGAATCCGTGGGTCAGCTCGTGGCCAATGACCACGCCGATGCCGCCAAAGTTCAGCGACTTGGGGAAGTGGCGGTGGTAGAACGGCGGCTGCAGAATACCGGCGGGGAACATGATTTGGTTCTTGTTCCGGCTGTAGTAGGCATTCACGATGGCCGGAGCCGTCTGCCAGTTGGTCTTGTTCACGCGCTCGTGCAGCTTCGACTGCTCCGTCCGGGCTGTGTGCAGCAGCACATTCAGCGTGTTCTCAAAGTACTTCTCCGGGTGTATTTCGATGCCCGCGTACTTCTCGTTGAGCTCCCCGGCATTGAGTATGAAGTCCGGATAGCCGATCTTCAGGGACATGGCATTGACCTTCTCCTCGGCCAGCTGCTTGGTGGTCTGGTCGAGCCAGTCCGTCTTCTTCAGTATGTCCCGGAAGGCCTGCTGCAGGTCGTGGGTCATGCGCAGCGTGTCCCGTTTGCTGTTGTCATCAAAGTAGCGGGTGACGAACATGGAGCCCACTGCCATGCCCATGTTTGTGTTCACTTGGGCGATGCACACCTTCCACCGCTGCGGACTCTCCTCCCGCCCGAACAGGGCGTGGTAGAAGGACTGCTTGATGTCGTCGAACCGATCGTCCACATTGTTGATGCGGTGCCGCACAAAGCGCCACATCATGTAGTTGGCGATGATGCGGGGCTCTGTCTCGGCCAGCAGGGTCACCAGATGCTTCATATAGTCCACGGCATAGATGACGATCTCCTCGGAGTCGCTCACCTCACGATCCTGCAACGTCGACAGATAGGCGGTCCATCCGATCTCCGGCACCAAATCCTCCAGTTGCTGCAGCGTCATGCGCTTGTAGAGCTGTGGGGAAAATGGAGTGCTATTAGAGGGAGAGTTAGTTGTGGTTCAGGGTATGGATCTCTTGCCTTGGTCACGTTGAGTCGCTGCTCCGCTGGCGCTGTGATGCCCGCCAGCGATGTCTCAAAGGCGATCAGCTCTCTGGCTGTGCTAAGGGCCTCCTTCTTGGCAGCCCCCATTTTTTGCATTACCTCGGACATGTACCGCTGGTAGGCCGTCAGGTACTTGGCATTGCTCGGCTGCAGGAAGTACTCGCGGGTGGGCAGTCCCAGACCCGTCTGATCGAACTGGATTATGTTCTCCTCCGAGTTCTTGATGTCCGCCCCCACCCACTGGACGATGAGGATGTCGTTGTTGTAGCGCCTCAGGGTGGCCGCCAGCACCTGCCAGTTGAAATTGGCGTCGCTCCACTGCTGGTCGAGCACTGGCCATCCGCCCAGGTCCTGGATGAGGCTGTGGAGTGGCTCCAGCCCCCGTCTGGCCAGCAGCTGGCTGTTCACACAGGACCTGTACAGGTGCTTGGCCTTGAGCTGGGCATTGTGCTTCGGCTTCAGGTACTCGCTGGTGCCGCTGTCACTGGGGCCATGGAGCGGATCCACTTCATGCCGCTGCTTGTCCTTGCCACTGGGAATGGGCAGGGCGCCGGCCACTTCATCCTTGGTCTTCTCGCGCGTCGGATCGATGAGGCGCTTCCGCTTGGTGCTGTTGGTGAACCGCTTGTAGCGCATCAGGATGCGGTTGAGCAGATGCCTCCGGCTGACAATGTGCCGGCGCAGTCGTTTCGCTACCAGCTCCGCGGCCTGGTCCGTCTCTGTGTCCGGCTCCATGCCCTGCTCGTTCAGTTTCAGGTTATTCCGCACTTGAATGTTGCGATCCTCCGGCACAATGCCGCTCGGAGTGCTCTTCTCGAGCAGATTCCGCAGGACGAGGTCGAGACTCTCGCGCAGCATCTCGAAGGTGTCGAAGCCAGCCTTGTCCTTGGGAATGGGGTGGAGCTTCTCCCAGTTGCCGCAGGCATATTTGTAAAAGTCCACGCAGGGATCCACCGAAGTGTCCATGTAGCGCTTCATGGTCTGGGCCTGGGTCTGGCGGATACCGTCCCGCGTCCCTTCCTCGTTCAAGAAGGACTGCAGGGCGGCGGTCGCCTCGCTGATCTGTGCCGCCAGTTCCTCGTCGCCCTCTTCCCGCTGCTGCTCAGCCTCGCGACGCTGGCGACTCAGCTCCAGCCAGTACGGAGCAAAGTCTTTGTATCTCTTGGGTGCGGACTTCTGCTGGTAGCGATTCATCTCACGCAGCAGCTCTTCATCATCGTTGAAATCGCCGTCAGGCACCGATTCGATGTCCAGGTCCAGGTCGTTGGAGAAGCACTCCCGAGGCATGCCCTGGGGCAGGAAGGAGGTGCGCGAATCCTTCATCAGCGTGCTGCGATCCTCCAGATCCATGGTCTCCCCGTTGCCATAGCGATAGGGCTGGCAGCGCCTGGCCCGCTCCGCCATCTGCTGCTCCAGGTGGGAGCGCTTGGCTTGCGGCACCAGGAACTCGTCGTGGATCAGCTCATTGTAGGTCTCGCCCTCCGGCAGCAGCGACTCGTAGCTCTCCATGTAGCCGGGCATATTGGCAGATGCCACTGCCCGCTGATCCCGCATCCGCTGCTCGCTCAGCTGCAGAGTCGCCAGCATCCCGTCCAGCCTCATGATCAGAATTAGCACCAGAGTCACCGGCAACATCACCACTGGAAGCAACAGAAGCAGTTTGCAGCAGGTCAGGCCGGGACACCACTGCACCCGTCCCGTCTGCTGGTTAACACCCAATCCCAGCTTGACGCCGCGCTCCCGGGACGACGACGCCGACGCCGACGCCGAAGACGATGCCCCGTGCACAAATGCCACCGATGGCATCGCTAGCTTCAGCTGGCTGTGGCGACTCATGGCACTCACTGCCGAGTACTGCCGCAGTAATTGAGCGTAGCTCTGTGGCCTTTATACTTTAATTAAACCCAATTTTTGCGCGCTACGCAGTTGGTGAACCGGGCTGAGCTGGACTGGACGTAACCGAGATCGCGAGTGGACTGTCGGATCGAGAATGGAGAACGGAAAACGGAGACTGTAGACTGCAGACTGAGGCCTGAGGACAGCCGCAGTGAGCTGTGTGTGTGGGAATCTGCGGCAGAGCGGGCGCATCAGCTCAGTCGCGCTCGCATGGTCAACTGAAAGATCCGCCCGGCGACGTGAGACGTGGGACGTGGGATGCGCAATCACGGCGCGCGACAACCAATTGAGCGCCGACCGCGGTAGCAGCGGCAGCAGCGCCAGTGGCAGTGGCAGTGGCAGCAACAGCGGCGGCGCCTAAGTGAGCAGTTGGGGGTGTTGTGGATGGAACTTAGATATCTTTGATATCTTTGATCTCTAAGAATTCTATGGAAGTATTCGAAATATTTGAGATCTACTTAGATCTAGGATTTGTACTAGGGAGAGTGTTTGTTTTTATCTGAATATCGTTTTGAAATATTGGCAATACATATGTTCTCTTGTGTAATTTGGATATACTTAAATCAGAGGTCTCTTAGTAATAAGGGCAATCATGATTTCTACATATATGACTGGCCTTATTAGCACTATAAATGCATAGTTAGATCTACTCCCATCTGGGAAATCTCAGTTACTGCTAAGGCTTTTGTTAATTTTGCCTTGAGTTTCCCAGTAATCGTTTCAATTAGATCCCTTCTTTGATTTGACCTATTAACCTCATTGGAGTACAAAAGGCAGCCGGCAGATCCAGTTCCATTAATACGCTCTAATACTCGTATCTGTTAATCAACACAAATGGCAAACGAAAGCCACAAAGCAGATCATTCAGAAATTTGTGTCATTATCACTGGAATAGCAACAACAACAATCACACACAGCAGCAACCACATCAATCAACCATCACATACAGAAAGCACAGTGGGAGAGTCGGCTCATGCACCTCCGCATTGACCTCTAGGCACCTCCTGCTCGAAACGTTGAAGCTCACAACTGAATTCTGTCTAAATTCAATCAATTTAATTTAATTTCACAAAACAATTGCAGAGCCAGGCGGACGGACGGCGTGTGTGTTTGTGGGGCCTGAGGGCCTGAATTCTGAGAGGTATGACGAGTATCAGCACTGGGAATCGATTTTGTTCGGAAGAATGATGAATAAATCAAAGGATTACCAGTGTTTCCAGGGTTTCCTCTCAAACACTCTCTCTCACAACTGTATATAATTTTGCAATTCATTTAAATCACTCGAGTGTTATGGTTATTACTATTTTTGCGCCAGTCCCACATTGTATGGTGTGAGGGCTATAATCTCCGTGTAGTGCAGTGTTTAAAGGGAATTAAAGCTTCGTGAGGCGTAACTGAAACCCAAATTGGTCCTCCAGTGTGCGCCATTTGGTTGGGGTTAGTATTACAAGATTATGCGGGTAATTGGCGGCATGCGATGCCATCTCATGTGCCTATACCCACCCATACAGACGCACCTTCTGCCCGCTGCCCGCTGCCCCCTGTCCACTCTGTTTGCCTCTCCTAAACGTTCACGCTTTGCATATGCCTTGCCTTGCCCTACCTATGGGTATGGCTGGAGGGGATAGTTTGGTCGCTCGGTCGGCAGAAGAGATGGCTTTTGTTCACGTCATGTCTGAATTTGAGTGTTTCATGAACACTAAACACGAAGGTGTATCTGTGTGAGAGTACGCGTGTATCTGTGCACGTGTGTATGTATGTATGTATCTGTGTGCGCCTGTGCTCATGTTTATGCGTAGCCTCATTGTGGCTGCTGTTGGGATGTTGTAGTCCGTTGAAATTGCAATTGCTTCATATGCTAATTTTAGCCTTAAACCTTTTAATTAGCGACTATGACCGAGATTAGCAAAAACTTGTCCATTTATCAATCAGAATCTCTCTGTACATGGGGCACACGTAGCACGTACACGTGTGTGTGTGGGATGGACTGCAGCAGCTGCCCCCAAGAGTTATCCAATGCTTTGCAATTTGCCAACGCTTCGATGGACTCTAATTTCAATTGGCTTCTGTGTTCACTTGATCTGCGGTTCAAGACCAAATCATCGTCAGGTGACCCAGTAACCGAGCATACACTCGTATATCTACACGCTCGTATTGTATATTCGATTGCGGCATCGGGTTTTGCGAAAGGTAAACGAACGAATCGTGAATCAATCAATTGATCAATCTATAAATCAACTCAACAAAGCGAATCCGAAACGGGAGAGTACAGATCAGTTGCAGTTGCGGTTTTCGCGTTATCTGGGGTTATCGACATCAGAACGATGGTCCCCGAGAGTTTCAGTGCAGGCTTTTAAAGGCAAAGAACTCTGATTCTTGAAGAATCCCCCCCGCTCAACTGTCTACTTTCGTTTAGACGTTTTTCGCATTTCCGCATCTCAAGGTTGGAAAAACACGTTTCCACACCGAATGCAACTCATCGTGATGCATTTAAAGAGTTTTTGCTTTTTCCTATTGGACAAACCGGTTGGACGCGCACTTCATCAGAGAGACAGGCCAGAGCTTTTAGCCACAGCCAGCTTGAACTTGAGATACTTGGCAGATGCCGAAAGAAGGCAGCCCGGAAAACACACGCACTCACACTGGCACTCACACTGACACTCACACTGACACTCACACTGGTGGAAGAAGGGTAGTCGAATTTCTGGGCTGCAATCTCGGATTCCGAGAAAACTTCACCTCCAAATGAATTGAGATATTATGGAACGTTACCGGTGTCTGTCGCTGTCGGTGGGGAACTGATTTCAGTTCGGAATCGGAAAACGGTTTGGCGTTCTGGAGAGGCTGCAGTCGTTGCTGGTGGGGCATCTGCCTGTTATCGCCTCGGGGTTGGTTTGCACGGAGTGTCTGCTGTTTTATGGCTGGGGCTGGGACTGGGGCTGGGGATGGATGGTGGTGTCACTCTGGCCACTGCTACCGCGTACTACCGCTTGCTGCTCAATTGTCAAGCCATTGTGAGTAATGGGACTGATTAAATGGCATCTGCTTTGCGAAATGTAAAGACTCACCGGTCGGCTGGATTGGGTTTAATTGCTTAGTTGTGACTGATATTCCGAAGTAGTCTAGAACGGGAATCGAACGAGAACTTTGTGTTGCCCAAGTGTGATTCATTTGAATCGATTGAATGGCGTTACAGCATCGACAATGTAATATATTGAACACAAAAGTGATATTGACAACTCCATCTGGCACTCGAGCAATATTATTAATTTAAATCCCCGCTAAGAGATCATAAATCAATGGAGTTGGCTTTGTCTACGCTCAAGCTCATGTTGGCCAACACCAGCTAACGTGTGTGTTCCATTCACGTTATGGCTTGTTGGCTGACAGGAACATTTCAATTACATTTTATTGGCTGGGACCACACCTGAGTACGCTCCACTCCATTGTCAATCATGCTATTCAGTGCTGGCTCTGGCTCTGCCGAAGCGGCCAAAGGCTGTTTGTCTAACAAATTGAATAAATTCTATTTCTATGCGAGTGTGCTCTTTATTGGTTGATTTAATAATTTAGCACACTCGGATTTTCCCCATGTCAATGGTTAATTAATTAGGGCAGACAGCGGCAGGCGCTGCTCCACTCCACAGACGGGCGCCATGTGCAAATATTTGCCATGTCTATAGGGGGGGGATGGCCAATTCTACTCGTATATTTAAATTCTTTGCTCTCCTCTCAATGAATATTCATTGGGCCATTCATTCATGGGCTGTGTGCCAAATAGTTTATTTCTTAATTGCATTACCTTCCCATCGAATCGATTAATCTTGCATACACATTTTCCGCGTTTCCATTTCACAAATGCACTTCCACACAGCACTTGCGGCCTCATTTATTAGCCTAATTATTTTTGCAAACACAACCGTCAGCCACCGTTTTGAGTGAAACCGAAAGCCAGCAAATACCAAACCCGAACCCGAACCCGAAACCGATCCTGAGCGGGGGAGTGAAGTCATTTTATTAACCATCGAGAGGAAAATGCCAAAAAAAAAAAGAGGGAAACCGCCGTGGCGGCCATAAATTTTGTACTATCGATCATTGTCAGGCTGTGAGATAATTTGCAATAAATCTGTGCGGCATTTTAGAATCAACGCTCGGGCAGGAGGGGATAAAAGCAAGTGGGGACAAGATTGGACAGTGGAGCAGATAGGCAGGGCAGCCACCAGCGAGTCGCTCGGAAACTGCATTAAAGCGACCACAGCACCACACAACATAAATTAGGATAATTACAATTGCACCCACAAGTGCCATTCGAGAGCTCTGGCTGTGTCTCTGGGTCTGTCTCTGTCTCTGTCTGGCTGTTCGTTGCCGCGGGGACGGCAAGAATTTCGATTGCATAAACAGCAAAAACCAACAACCACAACAGCGACACAAGGGGCCACAGCAGCGGCAATACTCGTACTCAGACCATTGCAAATCGTCCGCAACGGGCGCTCCAATGGAAGTGAAAATGAAAATATACAGATCCAATATCCAAATGGCTCGTATTTGAAAATTAGCCAAAAAGGAATTACAAACAGTGCCAATTCCAACAAAAACAAACACGATGGAAAAGATTGAACCTTGGGACAACGAAGCTTTTGATACCCTGGCAAACGTGGGGACAATTTGCAGCAATAATAAAAAACCTTTAGTATAGAAATCTGAGTTTTATTGATACAAAAGAAAGAAAGGAAAAGTATTACTGCCCACCGAAATGGCCAAGACCAATGCGAGAGGGTGCCAAGCGGAATGCTGGCCGCAAAATCTACAATTAGGAGTCTCTAAAAATGGCCGCAAAACATTTGGCAACTCCTTTGCCTGCCCGGGACTCAAAGCAGACCCCAGCCAGACCGAATCCGAATCCGAGCCCGAAGCCAAACTCAGAGACCCAGACATGGTCAGCTTCATGTTTGGCCGAAATTAGTTGGCCAAGCGCTGATTTTTCGTGGGCAGCGGGGGCAGGCAGCGGTGCGTATTATGAGCACCGTTCCTGCTGCAAAACAAAATCAATTAAAACGAATCGCTGAAGCAAAGTTCCAGCCGCCGCTGCGAGTGGCTCATTCATCCGTGACTTTGCACTTTTGCCGGCGTCGGAATCGGCGCCACAATTGCACTGCCTTGGCGGTGGCTTACTGTGGTTTTCGCCACTGGCTGGCTGACCGGCTGACCGGCCACCCGCCTGCCTCTGTGGAGTTGCGCATGCGCATGCGCAGAGGTGTTGCCTGGTGGTGCCGTCTGGCATTTGATATGCTTTATATTGTTTTGCATGCCGACTGCAAGCAGCGGCTTAGTGTCTGTCTATCTGTCGCTGGTTTAATTGCAACAGGCTTGGGAAATTGATATGGAAAATGGATCGGTTAACTAATTT